TTCCGATGGATAAAGAATGGGTATATCAGCAGGATCTTATGATAAGATCACAGCTTTATGGATTTAGAATGATAAGATCAACTTGGATTATTAGCACTAATACAATTAGTGATACTTGTAAAATATTAACTCCAACACTGATTTAATAGATTAAAAATCATTTTTAGGTATAACCAATAATGAAAAACTTGAGAAACTAATCTGATTTGAGTATTGGAAAGTAAACAGCCATTTTACTATTTGTAAAACCAATAAAGCTTCTGGAAATCAAGGAAATAATCAGTTAAGGCTAATAATAATCTGATTTGCCCTTTAAGCTTTTCCTCTCTAATTTTTTTGCTTGTATATTTTTATATTTTATGCAAAACATTTAAGCCCTTTTTACCATTTCCAAACAATATTGCATTTATAAATTTGAGGCCTTTTTTCCATTTTCAAACAATATCGCATTTATAAATTTGAGGCCTTTTTGCCATTTCCAAACAATATTCAATTCAAGAGTTTCCAAACGATATTCAATTTATAAATTTGAGGCCTTTTTGCCATTTCCAAACAATATTCAATTCAAGAGTTTCTAAACGATATTCAATTTATAAATTTGAAGGGTTTTTGCCATTTTAAATTAATTACATTTTGAAAACATAAAACTAATATTTGGCGCAAAATTGAAGCAACAGACGACCAATCGCTGCAAAACGCCTTATCAGATTTATCAAGATTCGCTACTAAAAAAAAGTTTTAGCAAAAAACGAGAATGCTTCTATTTTCTATTTGTTTCCACACAAAAACTCCTGCCAACCCATTTCAACATCTTTTTTCCTACTTTATATATCAGTTCTTGTCTATTGCTTTTTATCCTTTCGCCCCTTTAGCATAGATAATTAATATATATACCCCCTTTTCTCTCGCATTATCAAATATCTGTCTTAGTGTACAATATACTACCATTACTTTTTCACTATCGCTAAGAACATTTCCGTCTTTTATTACCTGTCTAAACTAAAATTACTATAATACTCCATTGGTTGGCCCATTCATAAGATATTCCCTTTTCTTAACCCAATGGATTCAAACATGATCAAAAGCAAGGGGGCTTCCCAAGAGCAGAATAATCTTCAAAATGAAATTCCTTTACACGGCCGCTTAATATCTGCTGTTATTGGTGGTGTCATGACTTCAACCCTAAGTAAGTTTTTGTAAATTTACTGGTGCTCAACTCTTTTTGTCCTGTATTAAATCTTTTTATTCTTTATAGTGACTCCTTTCGACGTTGTTAAAACAAGACTCCAAACTCAAGTTGCAATGACCTCAAGCGCTTTCTCTACTGCTGATATTCAAGACCTTTCTCATAAGCGCTCTTGTAAAACTTCTTCTTTTTTTTGCCCAAATAGTAATGCGATTAGAAATCCAAAAGTCCATGATAGACTATCCTCTAATCTTTATTGCAAAATATCCCGTCAAAGCTTACCTGCTTCTTCTTTATGCTACTCCAAGAACTGGAATAACAATCTTTGCTTTGTGGATAATCAAATTTCCCAAGTTAAATTCAATCCAAATATTCGTTCTTCTTTATCTTCTTCTGTAGAGTCGCTATTTCCTAACCAAATAACTGGAACTTGGCACGGCTTTAAAATCATCTCTAGAACTGAGGGTTTATCTGCTTTATGGCGTGGTCTTAGCTTAACTCTAATAGGTGCTTTACCCTCTACTGTCACATACTTTGCTGGATACGATTTACTTTCTATTCACATTAAATCTTCATATCCCAAAGCAGAACCATATTCTCCTTTAATAGCTGGCTGTTTGGCTAGATCTGCTACAGCAGTTATAATGTCTCCTCTTGAGCTTGCTAGAACTAAAATGCAATCTGCTTCTTCTCAAAAACTATCTGTTGTTGTCTCTGATCTCAGGTCTCTGGTTAGAGTCAATGGCATTTCCACCTTATGGGCTGGGTTAATCCCAACCTTGTATCGTGACGTCCCATTCAGTGCTATTTATTGGCTCTCTTTTGAAAAATTAAAACTACACTTTAATAAAAATAACTATTTTACCACCTATGTGGACTCAAACTACGTTTGGTTATTGCGCGCTTT